ACACTATTTGCAGCTGCTTTGTACGTTCCTTAGAGTGATCTTTAGTGCTCTCCAGATGAGAGGTCATAAGGCAGAGTTTATTACCAGATATGCTCACCTATGTGTGAAACAAAGAGGCAATGTTACTATCCAAACCACGATAAGAAGTTCAAAGACAAAATCTAATCACAAAGCAAATTACTGAATGACAGAGCTCTGGTTAATATTAGTTTCACATTGAAGAAAAGTGGCTTACAGGAGGAACACAGGCTTTTAGTTTTATTTTCAGAGATTATGAGACTTGAAATCAAAGTACAGTAAGTAACTTTGATAAAAGATTTAAGTTTGCTGGTATCAAATGCAACTGGGTTCGTACGTTTGGAGAAGCAGTTTTTCTGCTGTTTGAGACTGTCATAGAGAAAAAGCCAGTCCAGCATTTCCTGGGATTTTTTGTTTGGAAGGCAGAAGTACAGCTGTTTAGTACATACTGACTCACTCACATGCACAACCAAAAGGTTCCTCTTCATGGCAGTTGTTGGAAAAGGTATTATCTCATGTTTCAGTAGCTTCACTCTTGATTTCTTTAACATTATGACAGTGAAATACTCATCCATGTTACCTAAAGAGAACCAGGGAAAGGAATGTTCGAGGATATCTTATGCTGTATCATAAATAAGTTAACATTCTGAAACAGACTTTATTACCACGACTTGTGAGAATCAACATTAATTTGTACAAAGTCACTAGTGAAATGTTGCATAATAGTGGTCTGAATTTTTCGGATTTTTTAAATGTACATTTTTACGAAATTAGTTATCTATGGTACTTTTTGGCTACACTTGCTACCAGGCTTTAAAATGCAGAAAAAAATATAAAGGAAACCACCAGGCAAGCAAGCTTTAGACATGTGTAATTTGCATCAAGCTATATGCTGGTATGAAAACACAGAAAATAATTTAAGTACTTCCTTCTTCACTTCATTCTTTATATTCCTACAAATCATTGGAGGGTTTGGCAAGGGAGACAGAATAAAACCAAACTTCATTTTCTGGTTTTTGTCTTTAGAAACTGAGGGGTTTTTTCTTACCTGGAATAATAGTGTAACTGCCTGCTTTCATCTGTAGAAGACAGAGATGTGGTGGGATGACCTCTTGTAAAAACACAACATCTGGATTGTATCTGAAATCAGCAAGGCAAGATTTTCAATTAATTACTAAAAGGTAGTACTGCTACACTGTGAGGCCAAATAGAACAGGGTCAGGGATTTCAGGTGCACCTTGCCCTCATTTTCCTAGATATTGTAAGAATCTGTTCTTTAAATAAAGAAAAAAAAATTTCCATCATATTTAGCAGCATGTAGACACATCACCATTATATACCATGACTTCGCAAATGTTTGCACGGGCTTCATATGCTATATACATGAGGAATTCAACTCAAGCTGCTGCAAAGCAGCTCTGGGACATTTTCTCCGTAAGATTGCAACCACCACCTTACTCCCTTACAACAGATCCCCTCAGGTAACCTTCAATTCATTTTGTCCCAGTCTCAATGATGACAAGTTCTTTTATTTCTTAGAGCTGTGCTATCAGTAACAGTTCACATGGGGCAGCAGTCCTGAAAATGCTGATTTAGACATGACTTTACAGCTGTCCCTATTTTTGCTACGCTGCCGAATAGTCCTCCTCTAAGCAGGTGAAGGACAAACCTAAGGCCTTACTTACAGAAGAAAAATACTGTCACCCCAGTTAACTAAATCAATTTTCACTTGATTTAGTTAAGGGATTTCTGCTCTTTTGAGAGGAAATTACATGTTTAAATAATTTCATTTACACTGATAAGTTACTGTACTAAGATAACTCAATGAACTTTTAAATTGCTCATAAATATATTCAAGGTAGGCTTTCACTGATAGAACTATAAAAGATAATCACAGATTCTATTGCTCTTATCTTGCATATTTGCTTTTTTGATAGACAACTAAACATTGTCTAGCAAGAGAAAAAATTTCACTACAAAAATCTTTGTTGTTTCAAACAGTTTGCTCTCGTGTGAAGTTGTTCATACTACTGGAACATGACAAGAAAGCCTCTCGCAGTTTTACTCTTCTTATGCACAGGACGCAAGTATGAAGTATGTTCCTGATGTGTGACTTCAACTTGAACAATATTGTTCATTAACAGATTTTTAAAGTAGCCATTGCAGAACGCTTAACCTTTGGGATCTGCATAGGTTCATACCTCTTCCAGTCAGTATACCAACTTTCAGCTACTTAGGGTTTATAAAGTGATTGTACTGTGCATCTAACATTAAGATAATTTGGGCATGAAGATTTGTAAATACCTAAATCAAGAAGCTTTTTCTTTCCCTTTAAATCCAGGTACATGACAATACAAAGACGAAGCTATACTTACAATGCCAGGTATGTACAGACCCCTCTAGCTCGTTCTTTCAGATTTCCTAGATCCAGCCCATCAATGTTCCAGGTTATCAGTGAGAAGTTACTGTCATCTTCTTTTTGCTCTGGGTCCGCACTATTGACACCGGCATTACTAGTAGTTGCATCTGCTGTGAGGTCAATACTAAAGAGAGAGTTTACTTGTTTGTCAACATGCATAATACTGTTCTTTCTGCAATCACCTCCCTTATCTTCTAAACCATGTATTGATCTCGATATAATTTAAAACCGCAGTAATTAAAACATACAGACTCCAGTCATACAGAGCTGTAGTACGCAGGTGAAGTAAGTGGTTCTTCCTCCTCCTTACAGACACAAAATAACATTTATCATTCTGATTTAAATTAATCAGATGACAACCAATGTAATCCAAAGCACTTGAGTAGTTCAACTCTTTCCTCCTGCTCCCACTCTTTCCCCATATCCTTCAGGAACAGGCTGCTCCCCAGTGGACTCCCCACAGGGTCATAAGTCCTGCCAGCAAACCTGCTTCAGCATGGTCTCCTCTCTCCATGGGTGCACAGGTGCTGCCAGGAGCCTGCTCCAGCACAGGTTTCCATTGGGGTCACAGCCTCCTTCAGGCATCCATCTGCTCCAGCGTAGGGTCCTTCCAGGGCTGCAGGTGGATCTCTGCTCCACCGTGATCCTCCACGGGCTACAGAGGCACAGCTGCATCATCATGGTCTTCACCATGGGCTGCAGGGGAATCTCTGCTCCAATGCCTGGAGCACCTCCTGTCCCTCCTTCTTCACTGAACAGTCTGAAGCGCTGTTTCTCTCACATATTCTCAGTTCTCTCTTCTGCTGCAATTACTGTCGTGCAGCAGCTTTTTAACCTTCTTAAATACATTATGCCAGAGGCGCTACCACCATCACTGATGGGCTTGGGCTTGTTCCATGGCAGGTTCATCTTGGAGTTAGCTGGCATTGGCTCTGTCAGATGTAGGGGAAGCTTCGGGCACCTTCTCATAGAAGCCACTCCTGCAGCCCCCCACAATCAAAACCTTGCCACGCAAATCCAGTACAGAATAACACTGATAACACACTGATGTTGTGGTTGTTGCTAGCTAGCACTTTCCCCAAGACGAGGACCGTTCGGCTTCCCGTGCTCTGCCAGCGAGCAGGTGCATAAGAAGCTGGGGGAAAACATGGCCAAGACAGCTAACCTAAACTGGCCAAAGTGATATTCCACTCCACAGAGCATCATGTTCAGTGTATCAACTGGTGGGAATTGGCCAGGGGGGGCCAACTGCTGCTTGGAGATGGGCTGGGTATCAGTCAGTGGGTGGCTGAGCAACTGTATTTTGCCTTACTTGTCTTTCTTGGGTTTTATTTCTCTCTCTCTTTTGGTTGTCTCCCTTTTCATTACAATTAATATTATATTATTTATTTTATTTTATTTCAACCATAAAACTGTTTTTATTGCAACACATTGGTTTTACCTTTTTTTTTTCCCAATTCTCCTTCCCACCCCACTGAGGGTGTCCAAGTGAATGGGTGTATGCCACTTAGTTGGCATCTGGGGTTAAACCATGACAGGTAGGGATGTGTAAAAATTCAATTTCACTTGCAGTTTGATATCTTTTGTATGGCCTGGTAAAGTGCTGTGAGACTGTGTATGGAAGACACAGATCTTACATCTTAACTTCCACAGGTACATTTAACAAGGTGTGCATGCACATGTCGATTTTATTTAAAGATATAAATATCCATACATCTAGTATAATACATATATGCAATGTATACGTGCATTGTTTCAACGTATACAAATGTGTGTGTGTACAGTAAAATCTGCATATGTATTGCTGCACAAGGCAATGAGAAGAAAATGAGCCTGTCCCTTCTCCAAAAGGCTCGCAATCCACGAGCCTAGCGGAAGGTGGCTGAAGCATCCACAGAGAGAAAGTGCATCCCCCAAGTCTGGCAGCCTCTCAAGGCCAGAGAAACGTCGGGAAACGACGAGAACAGTGCGGAAAAGGCACAGAACTACCTGTGGAACGTCAGCCAAAGTGCGATGCCATGCTCGCCAGGCTAGGCCACGACCCGAGGATGGCCCTCCCCAGGAGAGGGGGTCCCAGCGCCTTCCCGCGGAGGGGAACCTGCCTCCACCGGGGAGGCACGGGGAAGCACCGCTGCCCCCACCTCGGACCCACCTACTCCTCTCACATCCCCCCTTGCCCCGATCTCACCTACCAGGTGCCGGAGCCCGCGGAGGCCGCCCCGTCTGCCGCCCCCTCCGTCTCCAGCGGCGATTCGAAGTAGGCGTTCAGCGCCCTCTGAAACACAGGGGCCAGTGGCAGCGAGGGGCCGCCGCCGGGCATCCCAGAGGCCCCGCCGCTCCCGGCCGTACCTCCATGTGCCAGTCGCTGCCGGCCAAGAAGCTGTGCGCCACCGCCACGTCGCTGCTGGTGATGGCGGCGAACTCGGAGCACAGCACCTTCCTCCGTTTGGCGACGTGCAGCTCCTCCTCATCCTCACCCTCCTCCCGCGCCGCCGGCGGTGGGTCCCGGGCTGCCTTGACCAGCTCCTCCCGCCGCCCCTCTGCCGCCGCCGTCTCCTCCATGGCGGAAGGCGGTGGAAAGCACCGCCCGCCGGCGTTGCCGTTCCGGGGCGCGGGCGGGCAGCGATCGGCCGGGCGGCAACATGGGGTTCACGGTGGAAACCCTGAGGGAGGCCATGAAGTACATGCTGGAGTCGCAGGGCTTCGACCGGGTGCTCCGCAAGGTACGGGCACTCGGGAGGCAGGGAGCGCGTCCCGCCGGGCTGCTCGTTTAAACGCCGCTCTCTCCTCTCCTGGAATGTCGGGCTGGATTGGGTTGGGGGGAGGGGGGCTGGGGGCACGGCAGTAGCCCGGTGTTGCAGGCCAGGCGGTGTTTTCCCCGGATTCGAGGTCTCGGAACGGGGCGCGTGCCGTGGTGGTAACACGGGATAGAAAACACAGTTGTTCTTCAGTAACTCTCGTTAGATACTCCAGCTGCCTTCCAGCAGCTCTCTGAAGGTGAGGACTGTGCTGAATAACCTTCAGGAGTCATTCAGTAGCTGGTATTCTTCCTCCAGAACTGTGAAATTATTAAATAAATGATTACTCTTCTCTGTTTAAAAAGGGTGCTAATTATGACATCTCACACCTAACCCTGAAGTCAGGCTGAAAACACAAGCACCTCAGTGCTTTCCGAGTTTCTACACAAGGCCCTACAATAATACCTTCTGGTATAAAGAAATGTATTTGACTGATGCTGCTGTAATGACTTACTCCTCCTTATAGACACAATTACGTGTATTATATGTACATTAATTGTACATCATATGTACAATTATGTGTATTACATGTACATTATGCTCAAAAAGGTTGAAGTTACTGTGTTGTCTTAAACTGTGTAGTGTTTGGTAGTGTAGCTGCTGTGTATGGCAGTCCTGTGGAGCAGCTTCAGTGTTTTCATTAAATTTTGCAATGCTACAATTCTCCGTTGAATTTCTATTTATTTGTCTAACTGTAACTGTGATGCTGTAAATATATCTAAGAAAACCAACCATGTAAAAATTCATATGATTTGCCTTGTAGAGGAGCAAATGTAATCGTGGAAGCAGTGCTTTTGTTGACAGCTCCATGGTCTGATACATCCAGTAGAAACCAACTATTTGCAAAGCAATTCTTACTGTCGTGTTTCTCCAAGACATATTGGGGAGTATGAAGTTTATAAAAAAATGTATAAAGCTTTATGTTTAAGAAGCTCATTTATTTATAAAGAGTCCAGTTATTTTTAGTCACCTCTTTCCTGTGATATCTTTACTGTCCTTTACATTAAAATCCTATGAAGTGGAGAGCAAATGCAGCATTTCAGCTCATAAAGGACAGTGAGCCTTGGGAGACAGGCTTCCTTCCTTGCTCTGGAATACTTTTAGACTTTTCCTGCAATCTTCTAGAATTACGATGACATTAACCTGATCATAGTAAGAATCAAAGTACAATTGTGTTTGAATTGAAAGTAGCTGCTGTTTTTCTGGGAGGTACCTGAAGTCTTTCTTACCGTAACTAAATGGGCCAAGATTTTTCCTATCCTGGAGAAGACAGATTTTAGTCTGAAACTGGTTCAGCTCCAACATTAGACTTAGTTTCTGGTTTAACTCCAGTGTGGTATCTACCTAGGGCTCAGAACTGAGTTTTAAAGCCCTTTTTGCAAAGTAGTGCATGGCAATAGTGGCTGGAAGCTGAAGCAGTATGCTGGTTCCTGAGGCAGACAAGTGGGAGGACAAGCACAGGAGGGCTGTGAGAAGTACAGACCAGCAGTTATAGCTGTGTAGGTCCTGGAAGCACTCAAGTACTGAACTATTTTTGTCAATGACAGCAGGCACCTAGTGCCAGATCAGAGCAATGGCAAATGGAACTGGATGCTTTCCTTGCCTCACAGGTGGATTGGAGCACCACTCCCTGACAGAAGTGTAAGCCATCTGCTCCCAGTGTCAAGCGTCAGTGAAGTCCTCATTAGGAATTCTATCAGAAGTCTAGGCCTCCAGTGCGTGCAGCACTGCACGCCTGGTGTAGGACTTGGGATTTTCACTGCTCAAGGTGCTATTTCTATATTAGAACATTGCCTCAGTGATTTCCCCTCTGTTTAATCCCAGCTTTTTCCATTCGTAGAACTGTGTACTACATCATCATTGATGATGTATCATTTCTCTGCAAAATTTGAATAAACTTTGGCTTATCAGAATGGGACACTGGCTGACACTGAGCTCTTATGCTGCATTATAAATAAGGAATAATGAAACTGGAGACATTTCAATCTTAATACCTTTTAAGATTAAAAAATATTTAGATCAACTCAGCTGATAACAGTATGGAAATATGGAAGTTTAATTAAAAGCTTTTAAAAAAATTCAAATTAGTAGGAATTATAATAAATATGTCCCCATTTCACTTTTAATAGTCTAAAGTTGTAGGAATAAATATATATGCTGAACTTAGCCCAGTTTTTCATCTGCTTTCAGACTTTGAAGATAGTGCTACTAACTGAGGAAACTTGAATTGAGATTTTAAAATGCTGAATTGCAGCTTCATGTATTGGTTACAGGGGAAAGCATGGTACCATAGGTGTATTTAACACCTATGAGGTGGAATAAAACTGTATATGCAAATAATGATGCTGTAACACTGTGATACATACTTCTACGCAAGAGTATGAATTTCAGATCAGAGAGGCCCATCTGATTAGTATTTCCAGTGCTCATTTCAAAATACTGATTCTGAGATTGCTCTAATATAATGATTAATGAATTACTGGTGGTCTTGTTCCTATTTTCTGAGCCAACAAATACAGCTTCACAAGTGTGGTACACAGAGATAGAGCAGTTTCGTGTTCCCTCTAATCTGGCCTTTCACTCATAGATTAAAGCTAAAGGAAAACTTAAGAAGAATGTTGCCTCCTAAGGATCCCTGACAGCATAGAAAGTATTGAAGTTTTATTAAGCTGTGTGCACTAGAAATACACATTTTTCTAAGGCAATAGTCTTCTGCTCAAAATTTATGGAAATACCTAATGTGACAGTTGAATTACTGTATTTTTCATCTTTTGTCTCATGAGTCCAGAATTAAACAAGATCTACCTTCATTTGGATTCAGGGCGATATTGGGTGTTGGTACTATGATCAGTAAGTTTTTTATTCCTTTTTTGGTCATACAGATGAAACTTGTTTCTGCAACTCCTGGAAACATTGTTTGTGAAATGAAAGTAGAGGAGGAACATACGAACAGATTTGGCACATTACATGGAGGTTTGACAGCCACACTCGTGGATGTGGTGTCAACAGCAGCATTGCTGTACACGGAAAGAGCAGCACCTGGAGTCAGTGTGGACATGAACATCTCGTAGGTATCATTCACCATGTTTACTAAAACATACTAACTTTTCTTCCCATATTGACTCCACTGTACCTAATTTCTGTACTGTGGCACCCACTTGAAACCGGTGGTTTCTTTGGTTTTAGAAGTCCTGTTTTGATAAATAAAGGGGAAGCAGATGTGTATTTGGAGACATTGGCATTTGGTTGCAAATGTTGAGTTGGACTTTTTTAAGCTTTTATTACACGTGTTTCAGAGACAGTGTCCATTCATTCATAGAATGTAAAGGTATGTTGATATGTTGTCAACTGTAGTCTTAAGAAATTGGTTCAGCTTCAGACTTTGCTTGTGTAGATACATTAATGCCTCCTCAAAAACCAAGATCTAGGGTGAGCAGCTTTCTATAAACGCTCTTTTAGTATTAGTCCATAAAATGTTAAACCAGAAAAAATATTAAAACAGGAAACAGTTCAGCTCCTTTGTGTGCTCATACAGAGGGTAAATTACAGATTGAATCAGAATTTATCAGTGGAGGAAGATTCCTTTGCTCTAGGTCATTTCAAGGTAGTTTTATACTGAGAACAGTTCTTCCTGTAATGCAGATTTAAAGCACAGTGTCTTTAAAAAATAGTTGTTCTGAAACTTTCTTTGATCATGCTATTATAGCTTGTCAGCTTTGCTTCATTACTTTTAATGAAGATATTATGACTGATTGGAACTAAAGTAATCCTACTTGGAATAACTAGAGCATTAAAAATCTTAGAAAAGTAACCCCTCTTCAAAACTGTCCTTAAAAAAAAAAAAAAGCCTTAAAACTGTGTGGGGAGTGATCTGTATCTTTAGAAGGTTCTCTGCTTTCTCCCCCAGCACCTTCTGATTTGTCCACTGGCAGATGGGACTGAAGCATCTATTTAAGCTTTATACTACCACTGTGATGACTAGGATCTTACTGGAAATTAAAACCTGAAATTCCCCTATGATTATGGGGTTTTCCCTGTATCTGACATCTGAATTATTTACACTATCAAGTATGCCCACCCATTTACATAAGGGATAAAATCTTAGGAAGGTGCTGTCTCTTGGAGGTGATCCAAAATCACCTTTAGGCAATGTTATGTGAAGCAGTATTAATAGCTTTGTTTAATCTGGACTACTGCTTTCATTGAACAAGTAATATTGGATATTGAAGGTTGCTTTAAGACAACTTTTTTCCGTTTTGGGAAAGGAGATTTTAAAAAAGTTGTCATGAGATAGCTATTTTAGTAATGGAAAGAACAGAGAGAAACAGAGAAACATTTTTTTTTTCCGTAACCACAAGAGGATCAGCAGCAGCCTCTGGGAAAGAGACAAGGCTGAAACTCTGCCCTTGTCAACCAACAGACCTTGTGTTACATCAGCATTAGGCATGACTGACATACTTGTGACATGGTGTCATGTACAAAAATAGACTAGTTGATGAAATTTATCTCAATAAGATTTATATCCAGCAATTCTACATTCTGCTCTGTAGTTCTAACATTTGAATATTGTTCCCTTACCTCAGGTCATGATTGGAGATTGGATCATGTTCCTCCTAATCCTTTCCAGGCTTTTTGTGGAGGAATTTCTTCCTATTCTCTGAAGTGTGTTTTAAAAGCACACCCTCCTGCTCATGTAAATAAAAACAAAGAGTTATCTAATGAATGGAAACAGCATTTGAGGGCTGCCCAGATTTCCATGACTTCCCTTTAACCGGGGTATGGGAAGCAGTTAACCTATGCTTAGGTTCCATACAGAAATGACCTTCTGGAGCTTTTGTATCAACATTTTGCAGCTGAACCAGCCAGACTAGTTCAGAAAGGCTGTAGGGAGCCAGCAGTGGTTGGAATAGGACTTGGCGCTGAACTTTTAACTGAGGTCTTGGATACTGATTGTTTCAGTTCCAAAATGGACTTTTCTTCAGAACCAAGCCAATGGGTTTCTTTCTAGCCTCCATTTTTTCAGAGAACTCTTATACTTACTTCCACTGGCAGTACTTAGAGGAGCTCAAATACTTTAAGAAGTGGGGATTTGCAAGCAGGCAGTTAGAGCCACGTGTCTTTATTGCCCACTTTTGCTAATTCCCTTCGTAATAATCTAAAATGCAGGAATATTCTTGGATTTGTCCTCTATACAGCCTCTTTTAATAGTTCATTTTTTATTTCCTTCAAGATACACTTCTGCTGCTAAGATTGGAGAAGAGATATTGATTACAGCTCAGATTTTGAAGCAAGGAAGAAGTCTCGCGTTTGCCACCGTGGATTTAACAAATAAGGCAACAGGAAAGTTAATTGCACAAGGCAGACACACAAAGTTCCTAGAACATTAATATAAGAAAGTAATGTAAATAATAATGTTGGACTTCAGAATGCCGTACAGAATTATTTTCTCATTTAAATAAGATACTTATTTACTTTCTGTAGAAAGTGAATTTGTCTCACTTCCATCATGAACAAATTTTTAAATTACCACCAGAATTGCCACAAGGCTAAAACTAGTGCCTATTTTGGGATGAACAACAGAGTGTGATAGCATAGGGATGCATCTGGCTTTTTTTTTGGTCAAGGTAGCAGAAGGGAAGAGCCTTTGGAACAGCCATATGGTTTACCAGCATGACAGAGTTTTGAGAGATCAGTTCTCTTTACCTGTGGTGTCATGTGACAAAGCAGCCCTGTCTTCTGACCTGTCACAGTCACACACAAGCACAACTATATATGCTTATAAACTGTACTTGTTCTGTAAGATGATAGTACAGAGTTCTTATAGTGCAAAACTGGTTTGAAACTGTAAAGCAGGCTAATGCAAAATGTTAATTTACTGATGCTGTAACAAATTCAAAAGTGTTCAATAAAGCTTCCTGAAACTACCTTTTTAAAGATTATTTCATGGGCTAGTAACCTCTTTGCACTGAGTAAAAGTTTGCCAACATGATGTGCTTGAGAGGATGTAGTGGAACCTTTGTACACACTCACCTCATTTGAGTCATGTCATCATCTCCCTCTGATTCCTGAATGTGAAAATGCAGTTATATCATATGGGCTTTTCACCTCTACCTACCTGAAGTTCTGATTATATTTGTTTAAAACTCATCAGCTGCACGTTAGAGATGTATCAAAATAAATCTGGTGACCTTTGATCAGGCTGAGGCTGTAGGCTGTCTGACTCAGGCTGAATGTGGTAGTTAAGCTGCTGTTCATAGCTGAAGACTGGGCACCTCATGCACTGTCCTGGACAGCCTTAACTGCTTTCTTCTAACTGATGACAAACTATACATGGCAAGGCTATCAAACTGCAATAAAGACAGCAATGCTACATATGCAGGGCACATTTTTCTTCCCTAGCGGGAGATTTGAAAAAGCTAATCTACACTAGTAAAGAGCACATGTCATGGAATTCGACTTTTTGTCTTTAGTCATTTGACTTTTTTGATGAAATGTGCAGCTGGGTTTTTTTTTCTGTGCATTCCTCAACCTAAAGAAATAATTTTCAATGAGTTAGGTGACCTGTTCATGCAGACTGATTTTCAGTATAAAGTTGGACAAGTTTACTAATGTGTTACCAATCTTTCCAAAATTACTTTTAAACGAGTGTTATAGCTGATAACTAACCCTTCAGTGGAAGTTCTCTAAAAAAATAGCTACAGTGGACTCAGGCTATCAGCATGTATTTTTCCTGCACAGGAAAAATAGAACAGTTGTTCATGGTATATACATTTCCAACAGAAGCTTTTTCTCTGATGCTGTCTCAGAAGCAAACATTGCTTCCATGCCTGTGGCTAGTTGAACTTTTAATAGCAGCATCTTCTCTTCAGCAGTACATTCATAAATTGTTTTTTCCTCAGCACTTGCAGTTACTCATGCTCAGAATCACCCCTGAATCCTCTTTAAAGGAGCATAATGCTTTGCTAAAGTAATTCTGGAAAGATGTTTCCTACAGGAGCAACCTTTTTTGTTTTAAATCTTCACTCAGCAGAACTAGATACTTCACTGTATTAAATTCTCACTTTACTGCTCCCTCTGCCTGGAGCTTTGTTACGAGTCTCAAGCATCTCCAGTTCCTCTACAATTACTAGGATGAGCAGTCAGAGAGAATTCATCACAGCAAGTGGACGCACCTAGTGAATTTGGCAATTGCTGATCTGGTTATCTTCCTATAAACATGTTCTGGCATCTCCAGTCATCTTTTTTCTCATTCTTAAGTTTACCAGTTTTCTGCCATAGGCTACTCATGTAGAGTGTAAGGAAATGAAAGTGAACATTAAAACTGCTCCCTCAATTGCTATGACCGCCCCCCCAATTCACTGGAACACAAGACTGATTTTGACTATTACCTGAAATAAAAGGCAGAGGGTGAGAACAAAGGAGGTGCCGAATTCAATATGTGGCAAAAGACTGAGAGTGCTCTCAGCTCTATGTGCTTGGGCGATTCTGTCCTTGTCTAACTGTCCCACTGCAACTTCACATGACTTCCTTCAATCAACACTGGCTGCCTCAGGAACTTACCATAGTTAAGTGGTCTCATTCTATCACTTACCATTCATCATATCTACATAATTACAACTGAAAAGCATCCAGGCAAATTGAGAGTGGCAAACCTCAACACATAACAGTACTCTCCTGTTCCCAGTCGAGCCTGGCAAGGACTGTTTCAGTTCAAGAGGGAAATGGGAAAAAAAACCCTGAAAAAACAAGTGAATTTCTCTTCTCCCTTACAACAGACTATTCAACATAGTATTTTAGTGCTGCCTAATTAATGAGGGACATCATTAATATGCAGGCCAGTTATTTTAGAAGAAGTTAATTAAACTGATTATTTTAAGACATCCTTGTCTGTTATCCCTCTACCACCAGCATGTTGACCTTGTAATTTATTTCACAACTTAGGCACAGAGATGAGCTTAGAAGGAATTGTCACCATTGAGGCTGCCTTGCTTTGGGAGTAAACTGTCAAACATCAGACCTAATACTTGGAAGTATTCTCTGCTGATTTCACTCCGACATACACACTGAAAATTCTGTATCTTGCCTTAGCTGAGTCTTGAAGAAAGCAATGGAAAAAAATTACCATGATAAGGACAAATCGTACTTGGCTCCACCTGGCATCAGAACAAACAGATCTCCTGTGGAGTTGACCTGGTTCCATCACTGCAGATTTAGGCACAGTTCTCTTACAAGCAAGCAAATACAGTGACTTCATGAGATCATCTTGTGAGTCTTAGTAGTATACCAGATTACATATCCAGTAACTGACAGACAACTGCAAGTTCTGTATTTTAGAGCTTCAAGTGAGACCAGCCCTCCCATATTGTATTTTGTTGTGGTTTGGGTCATTGTTTTTTTTTTAAAACATACCAAACACCTACACCATACTTGATGTCTAGACGTCTGTCCTCATGGAGGGCCACGTAGTGGTATGCCATATGTTGTGGAACAGTTTGTCTTTCTCAGTGAAAATAACTTCAGCTTCCCACTTCATACAATATGTTGGCCAGCCAAGCGTTTGATGCTGGTTTCACATCATGACTTTTGCACGAATGCATTCAGACTGACACCCAGGGGCTTGCACCATGTACAGCTGTACATTACAGATGCCTTAAGAAAGTGAGGTATCAGAAAAGACTTCTTTCCTCTGGTATTTAAAACCAGGAGTCCAAATACTAATCAGGGCAAATACCAACAACAGATTAAGGTGCAGTGAGCAGGGGTTTAGTCATTAAGAATTCCAGCTCTCAGGAAGACTCAATTTGTCAGTGATTAACTGAGGGGAGGAATGGGTAAGGAAGGGCATCACTGCTGAAATAGGCATTAAACTATCAGGACTCCTTCTTACGCCTTCAGGTCAAGCCACCCCATCACAGGGGTCTCACAGCTGAGCTGCTGGTTAATCTGCCAATTTAATGATGAGCTAGCTGGTTGGTTTACAATTCTCAAATTGACAAACATTACCACCTAAAGGGGATGGGGCAGGGAGGGAAGGGATGTGAGGAGAATTAGGCAGTTAAATAACTATTCTGAACAGCAGTTCAAATCTGTTCAGCTTCATTGACTGGCTCTGAGCCACTGCCACGGGATACAGAAGAATTTCCAACTGCATTATATCACTGACCATTTTACAATTCTCTATCTACAGAGGCCATTTAGCCAGTAGAAAGAAACCCCCAAACCTCTCCCTTACCTCATTGTCCATGGGAATGAAGAAAAAAGCACTTAGATTCCTATTTTGCTACTTGAGCTCAGGGACAACATGATGACAGTTATGACCTTTGTGAATCTGTAATGCATTCACTGAATGACTGCTGCCACCAGATCCCAGTCTCAAGCTGCTGTGGTTGTGGACACAGCAGCATGTACAGTCCTCGCCTAAAACAGAGTTAAATTACATGCAAGCTTTCATCAAAAAAGACACATTTGCTATCCGTTCAGGAAAACGAACAAACCCCACCCAACAACAGAAACCCTACTTTTGTTCACCAAGACAGTACCTGCGGCTGTACCACTGTAGCAAAATTCTAGATCTTTGATTTCTTTTGCTTAAAAGCAGTAGCTGTTTGAATAGATTTCAGGAGTTCAGAAAAGCAGTTTGCTGAATGGGTGCTCTAGTATACTGTAATTGTGCTCAAATTAAGGGACCTTTGCATATGTAAATCCTTTCCAAGCAGAAGTAGGTCATGGATATCTTCAGCCCTGAAAAACATTTCAGTCAGCCATGCAGAAGAGAAATTACACTTAGCTTCAGTTAACCTGTAGAGCTGACACAGCCCTCCACAGCATCTGCACTGCCCAGACAGGCTCATGAGCTCCCTCCCAGCTGTGGTGCACAAATCAGGAAACAGCACCTACTGCTGCAGACAGAACTGTGGCCTCCTCCATGGTATTCCTCACAGCAGGGTTCATCTCTACTCCAAGACCACCACATCAAGGAAGACTTAAACACCAAAGTAATACAAAGCACCCAGCTCTGGTGCATGACAGCAGGGAAAGCTAAGGGGACTTCCAGTTGTAGAGTAGAGGCTTGCTCTTGTCTCAACCTCTGAAGTGCAACAGCCTAGCAGGTACAGACTACCTACAAGCTGAAGCCTTGCACTCACAACAACAGCAGGCCATAAAGTAGTACAGGTGCAAATGAAGGCAAAACTTGTACACAGAAATGTCATTTCTGGGTGCTAATGATATTAAGGGATAAATTACAACATTGGCCTTATGGTTTGGGAAAGAGTCGCTTATAAGCAAAGATTACTAAAATGAAAAAATTCACAGAATGAATTCTAGAATAAACACCGCTCAGACTAGTACCATTCTTCAAACATCCATGCTCCTTTTTTTCCCCCTCATGTAAAGGGTTTTAATAGTTTTATCTTGTTACTTCACTCCTAAGGGCTGTTCCAGAATCTGTAGGCTTAAACAGCTTGTGAATTTGCTTCTGCAATAAGTGCAAAAATGAAAAATCCGGCTGATAAAAGTAAATAGCAATTAAGTAAACTCACACTGCATGTCCATCTGCTTAGTGCATGTAAATATGCTCTAGTAACTCTTGACTTTAACAACTATCATGCTCAATGGCGGGAACCTTAATGTAATCTTAAATGAAGCCTCCAACAGTCCATTAGACTAATCTCTTCATTAAGAGACAAAAAACCCTTCAGTGACTCTTCTCACTGTTCAACCCCCAGAGATCCAGATTTAACACGACCTGGTGTTCAATAACTGCAAGTAATCTAATGACTCAGTACATGACAAGTGCAAGAAAAAGCAGGGTTCTCTCAGTAGCAGAACAGGAGTGGGTAGGAAAGGATGCTTGCAGAGTTCACAAGCTGGGACTGTGTGCAAGGAGCAAGAATTTATGGCACTCCTGTCGGGTTTTAAAGTTATTTCAAAACTAATACAGTGCATCTTAGTGTGCCAAATAAAGACATGGTAATTCACAAGGACCATGGCCACCTACCCCCAGTGAAGAGTGATTCTCTGTTTTGTATTTTCTAAGTACAAATCACATAGGTCTTTCAGAAATGTCAATTTTTTAAGCACCTAAAATATTAAAATTTGTAAAATTACCATTTTTCCACCCCACCAGTTTTGTTTCTAATAGGCTTAACGTTTTGTGATGAAAAAAAAAAATTTAAAGAGAAAGGCTGAATAATCTCAATGTATTTCTACTATCTGATCTATCACTTAACAGATCAATTTTAGTGTAACAAAATAGTTTTTGAGAAAGAATTTGTTTTGTTTGAGACAGACGTGACAATGGGCATCGACTGCAAACTAGTTACAGGCCTATTACATTTTGGCAATGCTTTGACAGCAGTTCTGCCTTACCATATTTTGGCAACTCTTGAGCAGCTGAAGAAGCTTGAAAAGTGAGAAACATTTACCGACTATGACATTTAAGAAGCTTCTCCTCATCATGCAGGAAGCACCTGACACAAGCTTCCCTTCACGAGACAATTCATTGAGATGCAAGAAATCTAACGGGCTTCTATCTACTTAATTTATCCGTGCCCCACTGGCACTTACCAAGTTCTCAGGACAAATCCTCAAGAAAACAGCCTCTTAAAACTCCATATTCAGGTGCAATATTGAGTGTATTTCAATTATTGGTATTAGCATATCCAAAGTAGCCACACAAGCAGTTGACAGCAGGTAGTAACTATTCTTCTTATACAAGAGCCCTTTCTATATTTACAAACAGCTCCACTGAACACCAAATTAGGTGCACACCATGACAACCTGTGCTTTGGAAACATTAGTTTTGAGATAAAACCTACACTTTGAAGAAAGCCTACCAGAAAGCCACTAAGCTGATATAAAGAGGGCCTGAAACCAAAAGCTAGATATTATGAACTGCTTCCATTCACTTCTGAACGGCATTCTGCTGAAGTAACTTATCAGAAGAATATTCTAAGACCAAACTGAAAGCTCCACTGAGGAAGAGGGGAACAAGAGTTTAATCTCTTCCCTTGAAAGCCATTCTGTTTAAGGGGAGAGACACTTCAAAGCTGACAACACAAGAACAAACTCACACTCCCCAAGATTCTCATGCTCTGAAGCCCGTTGGTCCCCTTTACCTTTTCTCCCCCACTACTTAGACAATACAGATGGCTATCAACTCAATCTGATAGCACAGCAAAAGCATGTTTGTTAGCTGGGTAGAATGGACATTTAGCAAAATTAGTATTCCAATTTTCTGTTTCATCTAATTCCAACTGTGTTCTCCCAAGAAAGCATGGTATTATTGAACTCTGGGATCACTGTCACAAGAAACAAACGAGCAGCCTGTCTTACGCATCCCATACAAAACTAAAGTGATTAAACTGAATGGGTTGTTTCCTGTAATACAGAAAATTAAACTTAAGGATCATATCACTGCTGACAGTCGAAAAACACTGTACACAGCCATGCGGGCACACATCTTGAGGTTTCTTCTAAGAGAAATCAGAATGAAAAAAAACAAAATTCCTAATGCAAGAACTATATCATTTGCTTTCCTAACCAAGGTAACTACGGCCCTATTCTCATTGCTGTGAGATGATGTCCAAAATGACAAATTAAGAACAAAGGGTGGCATTTAGGTTTTGTAGGGTCTTGAATGTTCAAGTTTCAGGAGCCTGGAATTTGTTTCCTATCTCAAGCTTCGTGTGGACCCTTGGTATTATATCTTACACGTCATTCAAAGAAGAAGCACTTAAAGTTGGGAAATTTTCAGTGATTTTAGGAGGTGTGGTGGTTACTAAATATTTTAGAAAGTCTTAGCATTCTGTAGAGCAGCATTTTCAAGATATTTCTTTGTAATTTATGGCATCTATGAAAGTGAAGTTGGAGCTTCCATGTGGTGTTCTTCTAGGGTGCTTCAGATTAACTTGTAGGAACTTATAACTGAGGAAGTAAAAATACTCATGTACCAATACAACAGTATGCCAGTAATTCCATTATTTCTGGCAGGTACTTTCAAAACATAGAACCCACATAGAACACCTTTGCCACTAATCTTTGCTAATCTTCGTAAACATTTACATTCTGTACATTTTCAGTGTTTGCAATGGGGGACACTTAAGATGTAAGACACTACTGAAATTCAATTCATAGGATTTTCATAAATAAAACCAGTCATCTTTTACCTAATTTATTTAAATTCCAATTTTTTTCCAATTCCAAACAAAAGCTAAATACAAGTTTTAAACAGGTAAGCACTAGTTTTATCCAAAGGGAGCAGGCTTATGCAGTTTTATTCCAGTAAAGTACTCAACCCTTAAGCAGAGCCTTCTTTGTCATCAAAACTATACAGTAGTCTTCCTTTTATAATTGCACAATCTTAAAATGTCCTGCCAGAACCAACTTTTGACACTCCAAACACTATTTTACATTGGTTTATAATGTCTATTTCAAAAGGAAAAAAAAACCTCAATGGGTTTTCCATAAGAAATGTTTTAGAAACCAGTATTTCCTGCACAGTTCACCTGCAAGTTTACAAGTCTCAACTCTCAAGAAAAAAATAATCCTCTACCAACATTGTTTCTGCAGCTATTATTTTACCTTTTTTTGAGCTGCTTTAGCAACTTCAGACTCCAGGTCTGCCTCATCTGTATAAACGCATCCAACTCAAAAGAATACCTTCATACAGTTATACAGCAACTTGGGGAAAGAGATTCAAAACAAAAGTGCCAGTAAACTTAGACATGGCCAAGCAAAATAAAAGAGGCAAAAAATGCCTACACATTAAATGAGATGCATTTTTTTTAAAGAAAGATTTCTTTCCCACATTTACGTCCTACTGTAATAGCCACTTTTTCGTTCATTAAAACGAGTGATAGTGCTCTTCGATACAATCATTAATAGCAAAGCTATAAGGCTTTTATACCCGTTACATTCACTTCTCACCCTCCAAATACTGATGGTTAACATTATAGATGTTAGGGGGCATGACCAGCACAAATGGGAACACCACCACAAATGATCACCTTGTGCTTTCGGATACATTTGTTTCAATGTAGAGTCCCTTCATTTCACATTTTAGCAAGATGCTGATGCAGTGCAGAAGTGTGCAGAGCATCCTTTCTTTCACAAGGTCCATGCAGAAAACATCTAAAAAAAAAATTGCGAAGTTCTGAGATACAAATGATTAAAAAAATCCAGGATGATCAAGTTTCACAATGTATAGTGTTCTGAACATGAGTCCATTTTCTTCTAAATTCTGAAAGAATAAAGTGGTGAGGAAAGTGAAAATCCACTGCTGCACTCTGTGATCTTCCCCATTTTGCTGGCCAGTATCTTACTCTGGCATGTAAGGACAGAGGTGATCCTCTATGGTACCAACCGTCCAGTGAGTGAGCTGCTCCTGTGGCAGGTACAGGCAGATGCTGCATAACTTGAAGATTGTAGCTTTGTTTTTTGGAGTCTAGAGGCAAAGAAAACCCAAAGAAAAGCTATTAAACCTAAAAGTTAACTCAGGACTAACAGGCAGACCCCACAGACGTTTAAAATTCACTGTTTCATACATGTAAACAGCCTGAACTTAAAATTAGTCTGCAACCTCTAATGAATAAAATGTTTTTGCTATTCTGTTCATTCTTCACTTGAATAATTTCTATATTATCACCCAAATCAAAACAATGTTTTAATTTTTCCAGAATGCTTCTAGGTCTATTTTAGAACTTATTTAATTTTTAATACAAAAACATTAATTCTATGTGAATGCATCTGTGGCCCATAGTTAGCTTTTGCATGTATGAATCCTATTTATAGCGTAACTTTCCTCTGAAACTGCCAAAACGCAATCATAAATGCATGATCCATTTTTCTACTTGAGTATTTTCCAACAAAATTACTGATGTTCCCAAGTAGAAAAAGCTTTTTATGATTAAAACACACTTGTTAAGATGAGGACAAAAGAAGCTTACCTGCAAGTGCTGTCTGTCAATGAAGAGAAACACTGACTGGTTAGGGTTGTTGACAACAATTCCAGTCTTGTCCTTTCGGCTCAGAACATGCAGAAACTGTTTTTCATAGTCACCATGATGAAATTCAAACTTGGCCTACATGGTGTGAGGGAGGGGAATAAAATATTTATTAAGATAAAGCTTGTGCAACCTATTAATTTCCTTCAATCTGGGGCTTAACAACCACTTTAGTTTCTTTCCTTTTCTGATCTATGAAAAGCAGAAATTGGGGACCACAGCAATGACACACTTGAGTCTTGGCACCATTTAAATAATTCCCTAGTT